TTGAAATCAGGAATACGAGCTACCATTTGATCAGATACGTTTTTTAAACAATTATTAATAACATCTTGCGTACTTTCATTAGTATTAACGGCACGAGAGCGTACTTTATCTTCGAATGATCGCACTTCGTAGGATACGGCACTTGCAGGATGATTATAGTTGAAACCTTCAAGTAGAATGGTTATGTGTGTTGTCGACATCTGTACGATTTCTTCCTTCACATTTTATTGTTCGACAATGCTCACATTTCTCATAATAAAAATTCAACACAATTTCAGCAGAATTAATAACAACAATACGACACACTATGTTTTTGCAATTTGATTCTAGATCTGGTGATAATCGTTTGAACATATTTTCGTCTATTGATCAATTGAAAATATTAAGGGATACTGAAGAAATATTCATCAACAGAACATGGTATGTATAATATTTTAATGCTGATTTATTGTCACAAAAAGTTTATGATATTTGCCTTTTCTTAGGTTACACTAATCATATTTTATCAGTTATATACTATGTACGCATTTATCGAAATAATGTGTTCCTGTTAGTTTTTGCATTACTTTCGGACAAACATCAGCGAACATATGAAAGACTAACAAACTAGTTCATTTATGTCCTTTATGGAATCCCAAGTCGATTATGACAGATTTCGAAAAAGTTGCTATTAATACCTTTCACGGAAGTTTTGTTCATCTCTCTGGATTTTTATCAAAACTTTGCAAAAAGAAGAAAATTATATTCATTGTCAGATGGTGAAGATTAATGCAGGCCAATGTTCCAATCCAACTAAAAAGTATATGAATTATGATAAACGTCTAAAGCAATTACTGTTTGCTCTTCATTGAACAATTCTTAAACAATCAGAAGAACTTGCTAGAAACTTGTAATTGTACTCATTTTTCAATGTACCTTTTCTTCAAATGTTTTGTTGGTTGTATTGTTAACATCTGTCTGAATTCTTCCTTCTTTTTATTTATTAATTATAAAACTCCCTTGATAATTAATATTAAGCATGCAGCAAATTCTACCGTGTGACTTTAATTGTGGTGGAGTCCAGTTGTCTACGATCAATTGTCGCTTTTCCGTTTATGGTTATTGTTATGTTGTTTTTTTGTCTAGATACTAATGTACTGTGAAAGAGAAAATTTTTTCTCGTGATACAGATGATTTTTCTCTGATTCATTTTTTTCTTTTTTGTTAAGATTGTATCATCAAGGAGAAAAACTTGAACATTATATTGTAATCAATTTTATTACTTTTATAAATGAGAAAAAAAAAAAGTTACTTAACATTTTAATGTTAAGAGAGTTGCTTCTAAATAGATATTTAATCGTATAACTTCTTTTCCTCTTTTTTTTTCCCGAAAAAAGAAATATAATTCAAGAAGTTTTTTTTTTCATAGTTTTGTTTACATGCATCAAAAAATTGATGTTTCTTCTTCATTTCTATTTCTCTTTGTCTTTTAATCTTTTTTCTTTTAAAGTTTTGTTTGTTCTATTGTACTAATATTCATTTGTTTCATAAGTAAAATAGACATATAGAATATATTTGTATGTGTGTGTCAATCATTTTCATCTTATGTCACTAATGTCATTTTCAAAAAAAAAAAAAAGAAAAGAATGACTTTTTTCTTCTTGATCTATAATCTTATTGCTTTAAATTAAGCATATTATACAGAGTTCATTCGAGACATTTATTTTCAAATCAATAGATTAATTAAGAACTTGAAGGGCTTATAACAAACTCATCGAAAATACAGTTTTTCTCTTTAAATGTTTCAAAATCTAATGCAGAATAAAAATGATTCTAAATCGATTAATAATAACTAAAAGAAAAAAGTACTTCTACAGTACTACCGTAATCAATCGATACTCATGTGAAAAATGTTTATATTACTAAAGAATAATAATAAGGGATTATCTCTTAAACTGTTTTAAACTGTTTCTCTCATACATCTGATCTCAAGCAAACTTTAAAGAAAATTAGGGTGTAAATATTAAAACTTTTCTTGAAACAGCGAAGTGTGACGAGTAGAATGGAACTTGGATTTTCAGATATGTTTTGTACTCTTCTTTTTTCTGTTTTCTCTCTCTCTCTCTCTCTCTCTGTCGATTGATATTGACGAAATCGATAATTACAAGTATTTTTTCTCGAACAACTTGCTTCGAGCACATTTCATTATTTTTGCTGTTCATTTAAGTTAAAAAGAGAAAATATTAGTAATATTTAGTAATAAAACATGTTTATTCGACAACTCGAAAGTCGTACAGAAGTTGTTTTTTTATTAGACAAATCGTATTGACTATTTTTTTTTCTCCATGATCATGATGATAAAAATTTGTTCTCTTCTTTTTCTTTTTTTCTTCTTTTTTTTTCAAATAAGATTACAATCATTTTTAGATGTTACTAGCAGACAAAAATTAGGAGAAAAAAATCATTATATGTCGAACTGGCAATAGGAAACGTGTGTCAAACTATAATACAATGTAACGAGATAATGAACTATAAAGAATAAAATCTTGAAAAATGAGAATCTTATTGTAGAAATACTAAGCAAAAAATAAACAGGTAAGATTTTTTTGCTTTTAATACTATGGACTACTATTTTTGTATGTGACACAGTAGATCGATAAATTAGCTGATGATACTCCTTGGATCAAGACTTTCTCAATTTTATTTTAAATCTCTATTAATTAAAAAATATTTGAGAGAAAAGCAGCATCTTTCGGCAACGTTATATGGTTTATGCCCAAACTCTGCACACTTTCATCCACCCACCCACACCGCCGTTGAAGATTCTTTGATCTTAATTTGAAATTAATTAAAAGTGTGCCAAGTTCGGGAAGTAACGGGTTATATCTATGCACAAAAGTTGAAGAAAAAAATTACTTATTTCTATAAAGTTTTCTCTTCTCTTAACGGTTAGATCAACAATATGTATGCGTTGTTTACCGTCATTTAAATTAGACTTTCTCGTTGTCAAGCAATTCATTCATTTAACAATATCTTATAGCAGCAAAAAATTTGAATTGATAATAGAACAAAGTTATTTGTTTTTTAGCTCAAAAAAACTTCGTGTGTAGTAGAGCAAATGATTGTTGTTTATTGTCGGTTGTAACAGTGGGTAGTAATCAATTTTGTGCCATTTTGAAGTTTTAATAATGATGGGAGATATTCTCAAACTAACTGATATCTCTATCGATGAATAGAGAGACAGAGAGACAATACATAAAACTTATCGATTGTAAATAACCATCACCGGAACGCGATGATATGATCTGTTACGATCATAATAACAGAAGAAAAAACTATTGAATCTTCGTCATCTCTTCTATAGTTTATAAACAATATATAATTGAATACATTGAGATGTCAATCGTAACATTGTTTCATGTTTTGTATACAGAGAGTTGAAATGAAATGATAATAATTTTATTACCCTTAGTTCCCTTCTCGAAAAAATTATATATAATAAATAATAAGTTGCGGAAAAAAGAGAAGAAAATTATAGCTGCAACTGCAATATATATATCGATGTCTATGCTCGAAGGAATTAAAGCACACACATATACAGATTTAGTTTGAATTTATGAGTATGTCTTAAGGCACGAATGAGTTTTAATTACAATGAGGACAAGTACTTTTTTCATTCATTCATCAATTGTTTTCAAATTTTAGAATACAAAACAATTCATTATTTTTTAAATTATAACCGGATTTTCATAGTATTATACCAGACCGATTTCTTTTACTGATCTCAGAACTTCATCAGTGCATTAAACTATACCTAACTTTCATCGTATCAATGAGGAAAATGTTTTTAATTTTGTGAAAATATCTCTTCTTTCTCTAAGAAACTGCGACAGGTTAGTTTTTTTTTGATAGATTAACGTAAATAAGGATCAAAAGTCCTTAAAATCTGATACAAACAGTTTCATTCTGTTTTACTCATAACCAAGATTTATGATATTTCATTAATTCTAGTTGATTGATTGAAAGTCACATACTAAATGTTTTGAGTATAATTATGCCATTGGCAGCTTTAACGCCTGTTCTTAATGATCTGTTACACAAATCTCAACAGAGTAGTGATGGTCAAGGCGATTATTCATCGATGGGTAAACACTTTTAGTTTTTACACTGTGTATTTTTTTTTCTTCATGATTAAATTGTCTTTTTCTCTTTTTTAGTTCGACTGTCAGGTGAAGAATATCGACCGAGACAAGCGTCAACTGAGGGATTAGCAGTAAGTAATAACAATATTAAACATTTTTTCTCTGGTGATTCTATTATTCATATTTTCCGATAATGTTATTATCGAGAAAAAATTTTCTCTTGTAAAAAAAACAAAAATTGAAAAAAACATAAGTGTCTATAATAATATAGGGAAAAGAAGCTTTTAACTACTATCCATCTAATGGTTTTGAGATATCTTGGATGTGAAAGCGAGTATTTTTCATTACTAAGTAATTGTCTTTAAACGTGTGTACAATAATGGTGGATCCTTATTTTATGTGTGTCCACTTGTTCATATTTGAGACTTTTTGATATTTACTCAGGCTAACACTTTAATTTGTCAATATATGGAAATCGAGTAAGGACTAGCTCGTTATAAAACTTATTGTCTAAATTAATTATTACAAAATATCTGTTAAATCCAACCGTTCTATTAGCATCACACTTACCATTTATCATCTACCAGTTCACTATGATCTAATACTGCTCATGTGCTGATTCTTCACACTGTCATATAATTTCATTTTATATAAATATAATGGACCTATTTATACTGGTTGAAGTGTAAGGTTATGCAATAAAGTGACCACATTCGACTAAACGGAGATTTAAAGTATTCAAAAATTACGCTTACTTCGATCGTCTGACACGTAGGAACTCCTATTTGATCATGGACTCTCTTGATACTTTAACTCGTGTTCGTGTGTGCAGTTTTCACTCCTAACAACACGTGTCCAGACATTTGCACGTTTCTACTGTCAAAAATACTCTCTTTTGACAGCGAATTTACGCGTTTCTGCAGCGTAGAAATCTAAAAACTAAAAACACAATACTTTGTCTACACTTTAGAAGAACACTTTAGTACTCTTTTTCTCTCTTCCAATCTCTTATTAATCGTCAAGTTTTCAATTAATAATAATAATTGTTTTTACAAATTACCAACAACATACGTATATTTCTGGCAGAGGAGCTAATATTTCTTTGAAAAAAATGGTTTCTATACAACAACAATCCGTGAATGCCAATGCGTTAACTGCGTATTTTAGACCATTTGTTGGTAAGTTCTATTATGTATTTTTTAGTCTCCCGTGACTGAATATGAAGAATTAGATAATAAAGCAAGAGTTGAAAGACAAGATTCATTTTTAAAACGATTTTCAACAAGATATGGTTATAGAGGAATGGGCAATTTGGGTAGGGTTTGTATACAACATAAAAACATCGATTAAACTATCTAATAGAGTTTGGACAGTGATAATATTAATTTTTCGTCTTTTCTATAGAGCCAGCTAAACGTAATCTTCGTGCTGCTATCGATAAAGAGGAACCGATAAAATGTCGTTATTTACCTATGCGTCGTTTATTACATGCATGTAATTATTTTGTGATATCAACAGATGAAAATTTTCTATTCTATTGGCTCGTATTTTTAAATCTTTTCATTTTGTATAATTTATGGTTTCCCATTGCTAGACAAGCATTTGAACCATTACAACGCGAATATGCAAAAACATGGCAAACACTTGATTATCTAGCTGATATTGTGTACGTTTTGGATATTGGAATGCAATTGAGAACAGGATATTTAGAACAAGGTTTATTAGTATATAATCGACAAAAATTAGCATTGAACTATGTACGCTCCTATCGTTTTATATTTGATATAGTATCATTAACACCTCTTGAATTATTTCAATTAAAATTTGGTTCACTTCCACTATTACGTTGTCCACGATTTTTGAAAGTATATCGTACATTTCAATTATATTATTTACAGGAATCACGAACTGTCTATCCAAATACATATCGTGTTGTTAATCTTTTTCATATATTATTATTACTCGCTCATTGGTTAGCAAGTTTCTATTTTATGGTATCAAAAGCCGAAGATTTTACTGGCTATTGGTCTTATCCAGCTCCTAATGGAAATTTTTCACAATTGACTAAAATGTATTTCAGATGTTTATATTGGTCAACGTTGACCTTGACAACAATTGGCGATTTACCACCACCAGAAACCAATTGGCAGTAAGTAAATTCAATAGAAAAAAATTACTAATTATTTATTTTACATCCAGAGATTTTGGATGTAGAACACGATATCACCTTCTGTTTCTCCCTTTTTCTTTTTTTTTCTTTTCTTCTTGTTGTTCCAAGTTGGCTAAAACAGTTTACAAATAAGCGGTATGTTCAATTGTTGTTTTGCTCATAATTGTTGTTGTATCATTGTTCAAGAAGTATATATCAATCACTTACATTTATTCAGTCTTAATTCGTCGACACGTTAATTAATTTTCCTGATACTTCGACATTTTATGGTGTCGACGACTCACACACATCTTTCATCTCCCAGCGCAAAATGTTGTCGATGAGTCAGGAAAAAAATGAATGTGTTGATAAATCGAGAATACACCCTTACGATTACTAGTCATAATTTAAGCAGGTAAAAAGACATTAACTCTTTACACAGTAATTAACATCCTTCTGGTTATTAGACTAGTGGATTAAATTGAATACAATTAATATTAGTCAAAATTTCCATTTTTTTTGTGTATGTGAGTGTGTGTATATGTAATAGTAGTGACTGACTGATATAATTACTAAGAATAGATTATGAGTCATTATTATAAATATGACGAATAATTTTCTTTCATTTCTTTTTTAGCTATGTATTCCTGATAAGTGTTCATCTATTTGCTGTATTTGTTATTGCTATCATTGTTGGTAAGTCTGGTTTAGAAAAAATGTAAGTTTATATTGAGTAAAATACTAAGCTCTTATGAATCTATTAGATTAGTCATAACAAAAAGTAATCTTATGTACGAAAACTGTAAGATAAATATTTCTAAAATTAATAAAATAGAGATGAACACTTTTTATTCTTATAACTATCTCTAGGATATTTTCTATTAGATAAGTATAATAGTCCAAAACTATACTGACGACTTGAATAACGCTCCACATTTCTAGGGCTGTTTTCGCCATAACGAGCTATATGACTGGTCTTTTTGTGTTTGCATCAATCGTAGGTAATCTATTTTAATGTACATATTTAAACTAATATTAATTTTTTTCTATTTCGTTTAGGTCAAGTCGGCAATGTGATAACGAACAGAAATGCTAGTCGACTAGAATTTGAACGATTATTAGTACGTTTTTTTTTCTATTAAATTATTGTAAGTTATTTATAAATTTAAATTTTTTTTATAGGATGGTGCAAAACAGTATATGAGAACGCATAATGTACCGGCAGAAATGCAACGACGTGTTCAACGATGGTATGATTATTCTTGGTCAAGGTATGTATTACTGGAGACAAAAAATTTTCAAACATATTTTTATTTAATTATATTTCTCATATAGAGGTCGAATGAGTGGTGCAAGTGATGTTCATTCAATTAAATTATTACCAGATAAATTAAAAACAGAATTAGCATTACACGTTAATTTAGGAACATTAAAAAAAGTAACAATTTTTCAAGAATGTCAACCAGAATTTTTACATGATTTGGTGCTAAAAATGCGTAAATTAGTTTTATTGTTTAGATATATATATATATATATTCAATGTAATATTTAAAAAATATGTTTATTTTTCAGGTGCATATATTTTTACTCCTGGAGATGTTATTTGTCGAAAAGGAGAAGTAGCACGTGAAATGTTCATTATTGCTGACGGTGTATTAGAAGTATTAAAGTAAGAGTTCTTATTCTTTGTTTTTTTTCTTCTATTAATTATCTAATTTTTAAAACAAAATAAATCTCGATTTTTTGTAGCGAAAGTAATGAAGTTTTATCAAGGTTAGGTTCAGGTGACTTCTTTGGTGAAATTGGTATACTAAATATTGATGGAGCAAATAGGTAATTTAACAATAACAAAAAAAAAGTGATATACAATATTCTATAAGAAACATTTTCTAGACGTACAGCTGATGTTCGAAGTGTAGGATATTCAGAACTATTTTCATTATCAAAAGAAGATGTTTTAGAAGCAATGAGAGATTATCCAGAAGCAGAAGTAATTTAAATTGAGAATTAATTAATTAAATAATATCATGATGGATTTTTTTATTTTCATATTTTAGAAAAAATTATATGAATATGCTCAAAATCGATTGGGTTTTGAACGTGCAAGACGTGAAGCAAGTCAAAAAATGAAAAGTGCTTTTAATACATTGGCAGCAATAGCCAGTGCAATTACTCAAGAACGATCATCAACACCTAAAAATAGGTATACTATTAATGAATTTTTAAACAATTAAAAGTAATATTTCTGATTTATCTTTTTTAGTTCATCGCCAACACATCTGGATAGTCAAATAAAAAATGCGTGTAATGATGAAAAATCTGTTAGTGAAAAAGAATCATCTCTTAAAGATCTAAGGTATTAATATCTTGTTTAATTATTATTATTTGAATATTGAACATTTATCTTGTTCCTATTACTAGATGTTCGATACAAGTAAATAATGAACAACAGCAATATCTAATGTTAAATTATCATCGAAATAAATCTCATTTTCAAAATACTTCTATATCAAGTGACCTTACAACAACAATTGAAATGCTTATCAATGAAAAATTAGTATGTCACACTGAGTTAAAAATATCAAAATTAGTTTTTTTTTTTTTTTTTCATTTCTAAAAATATTATTTTCACAAATACTCGTAAGACATATTCTTTTGTCAATGTATTTTATCTTTTCTAGTGTTCTGTTGAACAAGAATATCGTCAACAAATAGCCATACTACAAGATCAAAATGAACGAAAAGATGTGAGAATAAAACTTCTTGAACAAAAATTACAACGAATGCAGGTATAAAAAGTATAATTAATAAGATAAGATCAAAATTTGATAACTATTTTCTACGCTTTTTTTTTTGTCTTTTTTTTAAGAAAACATTATTGAATCGTAATAGAATTTGGTTAGAAGAACAATAATTCATTATCTACGTCTCTATTATTATCTCAGGAATTTATTAAATTTCTGAAAAGAAGACGATTCGTTGAATCTGATGGTATATGATAATTTTAATTTATTTTACTTAAAAATTTGTTATATTCTTCTTCATTTGATTTCTTTTTTCCTACTTTTAATTTAAAAAAAAACAAAAAACAACACAAGAAATTTTTTAATCTAGTAAATATTAAAGGTTCATTTACATTAAAAAAAATAGTACTCATTCGACAATAATATGTATCATTTATACCGGAACAAATCGGCGAGTTCTTAATAATATAGAAATAGTACGAAAAATACGACAATGGCATTTTATTTCAGTTGCCGTATGTTGTTTTTCCTTGACCTATGTGGTGCTTGACAAATAATGAATAAAAGTTATCACATTACAGCATATCGCCAATAAACAAGAGTACATGTCATACTATGTTAAAATTTACACTTCTGATGTATGTGTTCGCAGTAATGTTTGTGAAACACACACTTTATGTTTACCATGTGATGTTTCTCGAATTAAAATTCGAACTGGACTTACTTCATGATCATTTCGTTTCTAAAATAAAAAATATAAAATAAAATATTTGTTGCTATGTTTCAACTATATTTCTTACATGTTCTTCATTTGCTACTGGTTTTACGTGAATATTTAAATAATCATTTTGATCTAATTTAACGGTTGGTGATATACCGTAAGATAATGAATTTCGTTTTTTATCTTTATCAATTAAAGTATCGTCTTCTTGTAAAGCATTGTAAGTTAAATCACACGATTTTAAACCATATAGAATCACTTTGCATAATGTTAACGAATTCTTTAAAAATAAAAGATATAACTCTTATGTTATTGTAATGAATTAAAACGTGAAGAAGCTAAGTTAAGACTGTTTACCTGATTTAAAGTGGTCATTGTGTGGGTATGAATGTTTTTAGTATTTTGATGAGATTTAGAGGACTTTCCTTTCTCTTTTTTCTATTGTTAGAGCATCAAACATAAAAAATAGTTTTTTTTTTCCAACTTTTCTTTTTAAATAAAACGATGAAAAGAAAGAAAAAAGCTGAAATCGGAAAAAATGCAACAGCTTGCGTTTTTGATGTGTTTATTTTAAAAAAAAAAGAAGTGTAGACAGGCATCAACTGTTCAATAAAGAAAAGAATATGTAAAAAGAAATATATCTTAAGATTTATCATTCACGCATATGTTCATGATACTTGCCGGCATTTGTCTGCTGTTATCATTAGTTTTATCTTGAATACTACTCTTGTAACATTGTACAAACCATGGAACAATTATTTCATCGTTCTCCTATATGGACAGAAACGAAAAGAAAAAGAAGATATTGTTACTATTTATTCACCGGTACTAATTTTAGATCAAGAATTACTTTTGAACATTTCATTTTTTTTCTTAATAAATATTGTTTAATAAACGAAAACTGTGATTATTTATAAAATTTATAAAATCTATTTATAAAATCTATCGATTATTGGAAAATATGCTAATATCGTTTTTTTTCTTATTAGGTTTTCTCAAGATTTAATGTTTTAGTATGTCTGTATTTGACGCTAGCTATTGATACTATTATAGTCTTATTTAGGAGTGTAGTTGCTAAACGCTATTGACAACATCATCTAGTCCAATCGTTGCGTTTCATTGATGTCTTCTCAAAATTAACTTGTCGAAAAACTAAAACTGCATATCTATGATTAATTTGGCAGATACTGTATGGACACGTAAAAGTTTAGAGTCGTTCTTTGAATAAGAATAGTAAAATAAACTGTGAAAAACTATTATAATAAGAAAAAAATACTTTTGACTGTTAAACTAACTGTTTCTGGAAGAATTTCAGAAATCAGAACCCCGGTGACGTCTATCAAATCTCCTCAGTTGAAATCAATTCATTTGAATCGTGACTTCAAAAGTTCATCCGTTTACTCATTATAATAGATTTTCATGGTTTATTCCACTATTCTTGTTTTAAGAACGACTGTATACTTTTAGGTGGACATACAGTATCTGCCAAATTAATCTTAGATATGCAATTTTAGTTTTTCGACAAGTTGATTTTGAGAAGACATCAATGAAACGCAACGGTTGCACTAGATGATGTTGTCAACAACGTTTAATGGCTAGATCCCTAATCTTATTGATAATCTCAAAACATAAAATGTCAGCAAACAAATGTATTCATCCGAATAATACAATTTAAATCTTTTCTTACTATCATCGTTGGTAATAATGCTTGACTTTTTCTGTTTAAATTTTGCTCATCCATATTATTTACAGTGATTAATTGACTCTTTAAAAATTAGTAAAAACAACTCATGAATGAAACTATTTGTATAATGATCTTGCATGTATACCAGTACATTGTATATTCATCTGACTAAGATATATATATTCACAAGGTGATACTCTCGTGTATATATTTCTTTAACTTTTCATGTAGAACATATATTCACCTCTAGCAACAACACATACAAAAATTATCAATTTATATCATTATTTGACTTGTAGTGTGTGTGTGTTTTGACCGGAAAATGGTCTTAACTACTTCTGCTTATAACCATGGTTAGAGTAAGATGTCTAAAATTTCTTCCAAATTTAAACTATTATTGGCTTGATGATATAAAGAAAAGAGTAAGAGTGAAAGAAAGAACAATGTTTTATCAAGTGAGGCCAAATGTGTGTGTGTGTGTGTTTTGTGTGCATCTTCACCACATGTCATTTTTTTCTAAACTTTAAATATTCAACAAGAGATTTTGCTTGTATCAAACCTATCAAATACAAAAAATAAAAGAAGAAAAGAAAGAACCACCATCGTTTTGTATTTGCACATAACGTGTGAGTAAATCTTTGACATCTGATTTTTAACATAAGTTAATCCAAATGAATAGGGCCTTTATTGTGAATGATATACCAACAATCATGTCATTTAAAGTTATGATGCGTTAAAACTATAAATTAGAATAAAAATATATTCTGTATAGACCAGACATTACTAGGTTTTACAAGTAAGTAACTCGACAATTATAATCGTCAAAGCGTCAGACGTCATAGTGTATAGTAACTTCTTAAAAGAAACCATTATTCTCCAAAATTGCAAAAATATGATAGGAAAATCGAAATTTTGAATAATTTCAGATATTATGCTTTCATTTTTCTATATAAATCGTCATTACAAATTTATCTAATATCTTCTATGGCTATTTGTTCAAAACTGCATCAACTTTTCAAAAATTTTCCTTCAAATCATGTAGACAATGGATAAAATAATCAAAAGAGAAACACTTAAGAAGAAAAAATGACGATAGTCCTATACAAATGTATGCAACGCACTTTTTCTATGCATATAGACAACTTTTTAACGATGTGATCGTATGATATTTGATTGTAGAGTAATTGAATCAAGTGCTTTGACACCACTCTTAGATGAAGATCACAAATCAAATGTTTTACACTGGTTGAAGATTATTTAATGAGTAGATGAGAGATTAATTCATTATCAACATTATCTAAATAAAGATAAAAAATTATCTTACTATGATTCTTTCGATTAGATAATATTTAAATTTTTGTTCAGTTGAACATAAAAGGCCTTTTCGAATTAATTTTCTGTTAACAAATCTAATACACACGTGTTTTTATTTCGTTTCACTTTTTCTGATAGCTGTAGTATCATGAGCCAATGAAATGAAATGGATATTGTTCAATATCATAATCGTTTTACAATATATTTATGTGATTTTGTTGTAAATTGATCTTTTCATGTATGTATATAACATTGAATAGAATTCTTATCGAATATCATCTTAGTCGATTGTTACTTCATAAGAAAATCATTCAGTTGTATCCATCATCGTGCAAGCAAACATCATCTACACACAAATATGTTTCCTTTCAAACATCAATATTCACCAATCATACAATAGTACAACGTATGCAAAGATTGCTACTTTTAAATATTATTCAATTTACTAATGTTATTAAAATAGCATTATTTGTTAATTTCAATCCAATATGAGAAATATTAACTCTATTTCTGATATACATCCGTATCTTGGACACTATAGTAGAGGCCTTCTAAACCAAACTTTTTTGTCCCGATCTCGTGAAGAAAAAAAATTTGGTTCCGGTCCCGTCGTCCTGTAAATATTTTTTCAAAGTAGCGATGATAGTTTGAAAGTCAGCGCATTGTAACGTGGCTCGTGGAACAGCATGTGTGGGTGGTATTAATTGACGACTTTTAGAATTTTCTATGAGTTCTTTCTCGCAGAACTGGTGTGTACATACAAACATGCACAGAACCTAAGAAATTTTTATGCTCCATGCAAGACTATTTTCAAAAAAACCTGGTCCCAGTCGGATTAAAAGTCCTGCGGGACCGGGACCATCCCGCAGGACTAGGACTGTCCCTCAGATCTCTAGGTTCTGGTCCTGTAAAAAAGATTTTTCTGGATTCCGGTCCTGAAAAAGATCCTGTGGAACTGGGACTGGGAGGGTCCCGCAGACCTCTACACTATAGTTCTTGATAAATGTTAAGAAATGACTCCGGTTGATTTATCGAAATCCGCACCATTTCTCTATACATTGTATATTTAATTTTTCACTTAATATTTCATGCAATTATATTTATTTGCATCTTACTGTACCCACAAGGGGCTATCAGTACGACAAGAATATCATTTACAAAAATACAAAGTAAAATAAAAAAAATAAGTATCAGTAAAATAAGGATAGTAAATTCACAATTCATTGTACTACTATTTTCATATATAAAGTACAAAAGGAGACACAAGATAAACAAAAATAATCATATACGCAGCGCAACATTATTAAAAATAGAAAGTTTCAGGAAACAGTTGAAAGATCTGAAGATCTTTCATAGCGATCATTGGATGGAATTGGAAGAAGGATTAGAGGCACACCATTCTAAACACTGTTCAAAGATCGATGTATTTGGCAGAAAACGTTAGAGCGATGTAAGCATTGCACACGATACTCTTTTGTTTAATCACAGAGAACGATTAAGATTTAAAATAGTATGTTCAAGAAGAAGAGAACCATTAGTGTTAGTGGAAAGAGCATCCAAATATTTACACCAGTATCGAAACCATCTATCATCTAGTGAGATTTCATCATAACAGCATGAGAAAAAAAAGTCATTCCATTCTAAACAAAGATGCACTCTCTTTAAACATATATAGTAGAAATGAGACGTTGTCACGACGTTGTTTATCGGTAAATAGCGGAACGATGGCGAATAACGAAATAAACAGAGGCACCACAAAACATAAAAATAAAATATGTCTCATTTCGTGGGATGTCGAGTCTCCGATTCTACACGAACTCAACATCATCATTCTTTGTCTGATTTTAATTGTAGTTTTTTTATCATCACTGTTCAAACCAATTTAGGTGTGATCCCATAACCCAAATATTTAAATGCACTTATCCAAATAATTTGATGAGAGCCGCAGAATAGGTTAAATTTACATTTTTCAGTCCAGCAGATCAGAGGACTTCTGTCTTTGAGTGATTTAGTGGTTGAACAGACAGAAGAGAATATAACTCCAGATTTTCAAAGAAAACAGAGAGGCGTTTCTCGAAATCGAGACACTGTTCTCAGAATTCCGCCCCGATTCGACCTGCCGTGGTTGCAATATTTCATGCAATTGTTATTGGACAATGGCAATAATAATGTAATCATTTATTTTTGACTTATTTTATTACTGAGCATATTAGTAGAAAATAGTGCGATTTTCAATGACAGAAAGTAAGAATATGTTCATAAAATGTTTATGTAAAACTAAGAAAAGAAAAAATAACATAATATCAATTGCCAAAGGTATGCATGTGATATTGCTTACCTTGTGCAAATGTAAACTATTTTAATAAATCGAAGAGTCGATGCCGACACTAATACAATCTTTAATTAATTTTTCAGAATATCAAGTTATAGATCTAAAAATACTAACAATACAGCATAATTAACGAAAAGCGATGATACCTAGACAAGACACCGAAGACAGAAGTGCAAATTTTACATGTTCACAGACAAAAAGAAGCAAATGTCCGCGTGTTTTACAGAGATTTGACTAATTACATATCTATTTCTCCTCTTTGAAATTGGTGGAATCAAACACAACCATCCTTTTACCCTGTCTCGCAGCTATAGCGTAGCTATAGCTCGAACAGAGGTTAAGCCATTAGTATATGTGATCTTTTATAAATGAGCCAAGATAAATTTAAATAAGCTTTGTCATGCACACTTCTCTATCAATGATACATCTAATCAAGATGGTTCCTTCACACTTTATGTTCAATATATTGTGTAGATGTGCCCTTTCAGCAGACAAAAATTTAACTGATCTGTATTTGTTGAGCCATTTTGGAAATAGCATATTTTTTTCCGTATGTTTTGAAATCTATTTATCCTATGACTCATATGCACATAATGACAGAGGACGATCAGGTTTGAATATGAATCATTATGAAATTGCGAGATGGGGATAGAGCTGTGACAGTTACCAGTTACTATTACCACCGCCCTAGAGATCGATTCTTATATAAGAATCTTACCAGAAACCTATAAGTCTCTTATCAGTATCTTATAAGATTCTTATAAGAATCCTATCAGTTTTAGCAAAAAATTTTTGTCTAGGGCGTTGCTCGGTAACTGTAACTGCTGAACAGTTGACATTCTTGGTAACGGTAACTGTTCAGTATATCTTTCAAGAGTCAAATCTCTAAATATGGATCCATCCATCCACACCCTCACCCTGAATACCTAGATATTTAGAGATTTGACTCTTGAAAGATATACTGAACAGTTACCGTTACTTGTACGGTAACTGCTTACCCGCTACCGTTACCAAGAACGTCAACTGTTCAGCAGTTACAGTTACTGTAACGCTAATGGTAACTGTCACAGCCCTAGACGGGGACCGATCTACCAAGATCCTGTTTTATTGTACTTTCGTTTGTTCATAGTTTTGAGTAAATTAGCTAAGCGAATAAAAAACTAACTGAACACATCAGTTTTAGACTTAAATTTTATTGACTAATTCTATTGGTCCTAAAATAATTCGGAAACATTCATTTAAAATTTACTTTGAAAAGCGTATTATTAACAAAATTTTAATATCCTTTCTTTTAATGTGAGATAACGGGTTTCATAAAAATTGCCTCATTAATTATCTCTTGTTTTATCATCTTATAATTAAAAAATTTCATTTGTTCAACATTATTGTTAAACTCAAATACAAACGTTATATTAAATTTAAATTTAAGTCATTTCAATTATTTCAGTACAGTTTGAATAAAAACGTTTATTATAGGGCAAGATATTCCATTTTAAGACATCTGTTCACGTACAATTTAAAAAGTATACGTTTTATATGAAGCTCGTTAATCAATGTCAGTTATTTCATTTTATGCTATGTTATTATCTTGTCTATGAAACTTATTTCATTCTCTCTTATTCAATGTACAAACAAGAAAGGGTAGTTTTTACACCATTTTTCTGATGAATCATTTGCTTTTTTAGTGTTGTATGATCTACTAAATAAATAAATCAAATAATCGATAAGAATATCCGATCAATCTAGGATTCATTAATTTATACCATATTTTGGTTCTAGTGTGATTGATACCACTTTTTTTCTATGATTATATATTAGATTTAGAAGGTGTTCTCAATTTGAAATAGACAATTTGTTCTTTTTGTACATTTTATATACTGTTTATAATTTACAAAAATATTCAAAACAATCATATTAGTGGTGTATACTCATCATCATCATCTTTTACATTACAATCATTATCTAACACGACTATGTAGCGGTAACTTATAGTCCTTGGTAAGCTAACATCTTAAACGATATAACTTTTATATAATATACCATCCTGATTCCTTTCAGGTTTGATACGAGCAAAATATAGATTTGTCGATATGATATGATTCGTAGTCGAAACCTTGTTGGGATAGTTCCTTGGGGGGATAAAATGGTGAAAATCCTCTATGTTAGCCGAGAGATGATATTGGGAATCAGGGCCGCAAATAGAAGCCGAACATTAGGGGATGTCAAACAAAAGTTCTCTCTCTCTGAGGTAGTGTGAAATTGATAAAAAAAAATTTGTGCGAGGATTGATAGATAAAATAACAACAGCTTTTTCAATTATTCGGGGGGTATGCACCCACCCGTTATTTGCGGCCCTGTTGGGAATAGTGTACACTAACAAAAAGGAGTTACGAAAATTGTTGCTGTCTTTTAAGATGAATACACCCGGGGAGAGGTTAATAAATAGGTCAAAATCAAGGCTTTTCGAGTATAAAACTTCAACTCCTTTGGAGATACTGAAGGAGGATAGAGATATTATGTTTTAAGATAATATTAGTCTTTATTTTTACACTCTAATCCTATTCGGTAATGTCGTTTCCAGATCATTTTGAAAATGGATGCGCTTTCAGCAACGATTTGAAGAAATATCTGTCTATTTCTCTTCCTACAGTAGACAATCATTCCCAATTAGGGGAAATAACATGAAATGATAAACGATTTATAAAGTGTAAGATGCCCTATTTCAAATTGAGACCACTTTCTAAATCTAATTAATAATCGTAGGAAAAAGTGGTCTCAATCATGAAGTCACGAATATTTTCTTTGATGTTCGTACACAAAAATTAGTTTGAATTATTTTGATTTTTTTCAATGTATAATTTTACAAGCCACAAATTTATCAAAGTCGATGAGATTGTTTTTTTCTTTCTATGCAAAAGCAAACAAAATGACAGATTAGTTCTATTTCGTTTAGCTAAAAAAATGACCAACGTCACACTTTTAAATGTTCGATAAACATAGACAAACGAAAAATGAACTTTTATAATGGACAATAGTCATGCATGACCAATTTTTTTTTCATACGATAGATCGCTCTAAACAAGGACACTCACAACATCTAAGCTTATCTCGAGATAATAAGAATTAAAAAATTCGTTTGTAATTTTTTTTTGTCTATCTATAGCCATAGAACATCACCCACTTTGGGTGAGTATGAAATAAATGAAAATAAGTTAATTAACAACCGGAAAAACAAAATACATAATTTTCTCACTTTGAATTTTCTGTAGATTTAACACTGAACTATGAATGTGTGTTATTTTAATTTCATTGTCAAACTTTTCTAAAAATTGTTATGCTACGGATCAAGATGTTGGTAAACGTTGAAACATTTAGCTATTGAAAATAATAATTGTACAAATAAAAGTCTATTAAAAATTATATTTTATTATCAATTTGTGCTATATTTGTATTGAAATAATTAAATAAATTTGTAAAGATGTTTGAATTTTCTATAAAAATAACTAACTACTCTAAATGTGTATCATCAACAAGTCTGTAACATTAATATATACTATTAAATTGAATTCTATACAAAATAGAATTCTATTTCGGTATGTATCAGATGGTGGAGATAAAACATTTTACGATAACTTTATTATTCTTTTTGCAGAAATAAAGTGAAGTTAACACAATGAAGAATTTTAAGAAAATTAATTTAAAAGAACATTCAACAATATATATACATATATATGTTTTATTATTTTAGACTATTCACGTAATATTATGTATACTCAACGTCCAACATTTTACTATCATCATCATCATCATCATCCAACAAGAAATATTCCCATACGAGTCGATAAAGATCTACCGCATATGTATAATCCAAATCGATTTTGGTATTCATTTCGTTGGCCTGGCCTCATATTAGGTAGTCTAATATTATTGTTATCATTAACAATATTTTTTACAGAAATTGGTCGATTATACTCCGGTTCGAATAATCATGGCATGTTTGATAATCGAAATTTATACGAAATGTATCCAAATAATATTGTTGGACAAAATGGTGATCAAAATGTAAAACCAGAAAATCGTTGGTTTTGGCCATGGTCAACGGCTACTCTCTTTTTTAGTCTCATCTTTATTTCAACAGGTATCATGGGTATTATCAGTGGAAAACGTTTAACATATACGGCAATATTAGCCTATCTCATATTTTCTATTATTAGTCTATTTTTATTAGTATTTATTATTACATCTTATTCAACAATTATCATAGGTTGGTATAAAATATATAATACAAGAAATGGAAATTTAATGTCAACATATACAAGAATTGATCGAGATTTAAGTATTGTATGTCTATCATTAGCATGTGCATTAATATTATGCATATTTATTGGAGCAATTTTTGCCGGCTTAGCTATACGAGCCTGTCAAAAAAAAGGACCAACAATAGAACATGATAATGATCAACAAATATTGACCCCTGGTACACTAAGAAATTATTTATCGAGACCGTATCAATTGAATTAAAAGTTAGTCAAATACATATCAAGACTTTCGTATAGCATTTTTAACTTTTCATGTATCGTTATCTTTTCTGTTCGTAAAAAAGTTCATGTTTTAAAATATGATCAACATATCTCAAGCAGATGATATCATGTTTAAAGAGATGATTCTTATCTTTATGTTATTCCATATATATATATATGTTACAGTGGAATTTAAAATTCCACTAGTGGAAATTAAAATTTCAATTTTCACTAGTGGAGTTTAAAATTTCCATTTCCACTGACAACAATCCAGTGGAAACTGAAATTTTAAATTCCACTAGGCAAAAATGACTAACACTCATATTTCAATCTGCACTATAGTGGAAATTATAATTTGACTGACATGATGCTGATAGTAAAGGTAATACCATCTTTTTATTGAAAATATTATTAACAATCACAAATATTTTTTTAACAGCATTAAGCATTTGAACACACACACTTTTTTTTGGGGTGACATTTTGTACAACATTTTATGCCTTTAGCTCGGCATGGACAACTTTTTGTCGCACAGTCTCGTTTACAATTGCACGCTTCCGCAATTGTATTTTCACCTGTACTAGCGTAACCTTTACAAGCCTGGATGAATGTAACAACGGGTACGCATAATGATCTTTGATCTAAGTAGACCCATCAAATCACATTAATACTTATTTCGCATCAAATACTTTTTAAAACCTACTTTAGCCCAAGTTTTAGCACGCCCGAAATGTCCACCACATTCATGGCATTCTTTGACTTTTCTGAACAGTTGTTCATATGTAACAACAGGTTGATTAACTTTCATACCATAAACCACATTCGTTTCGCCAATTTTTACCAACTTGAAATGCTTGTTTACCCAAAACTTGAATTGTGCAGTGCCCCAACCATCACGTAATGCCAGAATAATATCACCGTACATATCCTGCTTGATTAGATATTTATCACGAAATTTTTCATTTAATTTGAGTATGTGCGCATCCAGTTTTTCATAAAATATCTCCATTATGACTTATAACTAACTGTGTGAACTTCTCTACTACCTAAATCTATAAGTATTTCTTTCCTTTCCTTTCTTTTACTATTTTGATTTCCACTATAGTGGAAATTGAAATATGAGTGTTAGTCATTTTTGCCTAGTGAAATTTAAAATCCCACTATAGTGGAGATTAAAATTTTATTTTCCACTAGTTGGACTTAAAATTTCAATTTTCACTGGATTCTTCTCAGTGGAAATTGAAATTTTAATTTCCACCAGTGGAATTTTAATTTCCACTGTAACATATACATATGTCTACAATCGTTTAATGAAAAACTGAACAAAAGAATAATTCAATATCTTTACCACCTTTTTCTATTTTGTGTTCAACTATTAGTGTTAATGTGGTTGCTATACTGATAGATGATATTGTAGTAGGTATTGTTGTTAGTATATGTAGGATAAAAATGATTGCAGAAGAGAGTAATAGTTGTTTAATTGGAATTTCTATCAATTAATTTAGTCAGTAGTTTGTCACACTATTTTTGTTACAAAAAATTGTCACATTGATCTATCACTACACTATTTTTAAAACTTTTACCACACATTTCTGACTATATACCGTATAAAATTGTTTTAACCCTTTACACCTGGCGGTCCCTTCCAAGGGACATTGATGTAATAGATTTATACAAAGAACGGATCATCAGGCCATAAGCTAGATTATTACTAATGTAGGACAATAGAGTAGCCTAACTTTTGATTGAAATAAGAAAAAAACATTTCCATTTTAAACCGATATTTTTGAATTTTACAATTGAATGAAGTTCAAAAATGAATTTTTTGGTTTTAGATATTTTCTATACTTGTAGCCACTAAATCATTTTCTAACTTTGTAGTTGGTAGTTTTGGTTGTATGGATGTACTTTATAATGAAATCAAAGCAGACATTTTTGTAGCATTCTTCTTTGCGTAAAAGCCCTGTGGATTCACTGTCCATTGGAAGGGACATTCGGGTGTAACGACATGAAAAGTGAATTTATCTATTTTTATCTTAACATCTTGTTAGCGTGGGTCATTCTGTGATCACTCGCTACATATCTGAAGATGGACGAATCAAGAAAAAAAGGTGTAACCAAATTTTATTATACACCAGTACAGTGCCGTCGCCGACAAATGTGAAGGCGTTTTTCTCTGATCGATATAAAAATTCCATCTAGTTGCGTTTTAAATACTGAATAAAATTGGGAAGCGTCTAAACTATCTTCAGTTTTTTAAAAAACAAGATACGTCCAAACACACTTTTCTTCCTTGAGATAAAAAGAAACTCGTTTAGAAGCGCCCTTGGGACCATCTTGATTCGAAAAACGCGTTCGGGCACGACGTTTTTGGAAAAATTAAAGAAAAATGCGTTTGTTTCTACCAAAAATTTTCCCAGTGAGTAAAGAATTGAAAAGAAACTCATAGTAACACACTAGGGTAAAAAAGGAAGTTCGGAATAATAATGAAAAAAATACAAATCCATGTCGTTACACCCGAATGTCCCTTCCAAGGGACATCATGTATCCACGCGGCAAAGCAACACCACTTAAGTCCAGATATAACATGGATGTACCAAAGAACTGTAAGTTTCAATGCAATAGTTATTTCAGCGGCAGCTATAATAAAAGTGTCTTCGGGTGTAAAGGATTAAGTAAAAAATTCTTAAAAACGATGCAGATGAGACTAAACCAGTCTAACGTTTAAGAGCAAGATTTTGATCTCTGATATTTGATAGAGTAGTTATTCGAATATCATTCACTGCTGATCATGCAAATTTTCTCGTTGTCTGAAGTACCTTAATACATTGACTCCAGATAAAATAGCGGAATATTACTCGCTTATCTCATCTTCCTCATACATACCGTTAGTTGTAATGTAATTATGTTTAACAGTTAATTTTCATCAAAAAATCATTCCATACAAGAGAACAAACGTTCCAACAAAACAGATCATCGCTGCTAAACTGACTAATCTCAGATACAATTTGGTTTCTCTGCATCCAATTTTAAACTTCTAACGGATAATTCATAGAGAATAGATCTTTCTGTAATTGTTCTATAAATAATGTACAAACCTAGTGTCAGAATATTTTTCTTTTTGTTTTCCAGACTTGTATTGTTTATTGTTCAAACCTTTCAGTTCTCTGCAATAAACAGATTAAATATCTTATTACAAAATGTAAAAGTAGAACGTTAGTACGAAAAATACTAATAGACTTCGAACAGGTAACTTTATTAAATATTTTTGAATAAATTCAAATTTTATTTTTAAATAAAGATGCAGAAATGAGCTACATTAAGGTTAATATTCTGGCGCTGACCAGTCTGTGTATAATAGAGATCTGTAAAACTTGATTATACGACATAAAGAGTAACTTTATTGCAATCCTCTGAGCAATAAAATGAAATTCTGACTCGAAGTTTCTCGTTTTTCGTCGTTTTTTTCCTTGAGCTCTAGTGGAATACATAATGTAACTTCAGTATTATTGAATAATGTACCTTATATGGAAATTTTTCTTAATCAGCGTTTCTAAAATGCGCGCACATGATCTAAATGTGTGCTGTCAAAACGAACACAATTCTTTTCGTCTATTTGTCATGTTTTTCTTCTTTTTTTTTTAATCGTTAATTTTTGTTTATATTGATACTTATCCACATCAAAAAATGTCGTCTGAAATATATACGTCACAAATGAGTGAAGATGTTCGTAGTCGATGTCGTGATTGTGCGATTCAATTATATTTAACTAAGTATGAATGTGTTCAAAGTATTCAACGTTTATTACAGCAACAACAAGAAATTGATGAATGTATAGCAAATTTGCATGATACCAAAACACATGCACAAGCCATCAATGAACAGGTTTATGTTTTAGATGAATCGTATGCACGAAAATTTTGTCAATATCTCTTCTGTGGTTATAAAACGGAACAACTTCGATTGTATGAACAATCAGCAGAATTAATTAAGAATAAAGAATTAGATGATCAAAACTTATTGATATTACCATTTCCACAAGCAACAATGATAACAACCAGTAAGAGTAAACAAAAATGGTCACTCATTCTTAACAAAATCACATTGTCCTAAAAATTTAACATCTTTTGCGAAAAGTCTGAAAATACACGTTTAGATATTGTTTCCTTTGACAGATGGAATCAAGACGAATATAGAAAATACTCGCTGTTCATTACTAGACAGAGATCGTGATTTAAGTCAGTTATCGGATTATCTATTAAGTTTAAAACTGGATCGAACTTATGAGTTTAAAAGTGAAGAAGAATTTCAGAAAACATTAAATGATGAATATACAGTATTGTATGATTTGGCAAAAACAATAACAAAATGTGTTCAAATTATACACGACGCTGTATTTCATTTAAGTAACGATATTAATGTAGTACAAAATCATATGAATGATGCAAATCCAAGAATAAAACAAATGTTAGCGATGCGAGAATTAGCATCTAATTTTTAGCATGTAATTTTTTTATCTTTGCCAAGATAACTGACACCAGTGATGTCATCGTCACAGACAAATATTAACAGTTCAGTGTAAATTTAGTTTATGATTCTGGACAAGAGGTGCAGAATCCACCTGTAAGAATGAAAAACTTTCCCCTATGGGAAAATTTCTAAAATATTTTCTAATGTCAGAATATTTCCTCCACCAAAACTGCCATATTTTTTTGAAGTTTTTCCTGAAAAATTTTCCTAAAATCAAAATTTTTCCCCAACGAACATCGGAGTAAGTAAATATATCCTGCACCTCTGTTCTGGAGCTTCGTTGATAATACACGTTTTGCAGTAATATAATAAAATATTTTCTATTTTCTGACAGACAATTTTCTTTAATAAATGCTAAAACCAATGTTTCGTCATCATATTTTAAGCTGATTGCTTCTAAAGAATGAGAGAAAAAATTCGAATGTTTTATAAGCGTAATGCGTGTAAAATACTGCACAATAAAACAAAAGAAAGCAATAATTTCAACTTTTTACACCCAAATATTGTTTCAGATAGTGCCTTAATAATGAAAAATTAGTCAAGATATTATTAATAAATATTTACTGATTAATAGTACAAAATTATGCCAACTGTCTGATCAAAGAATACTTCCGAGATCTTTAAGTATACTTTTTTCATAGGGGCAATAAAATCTAGCTTCTCGCCTCCTACGCGATTGTTTTTTTCTTTTTCACTCTTATAGTTGTAAATATATCATCTAGAACCATGTCTAGTAATGCTAAAACATCACTCGACAATATGCCAGAAAACGTATAATATTTTGTAAGAAAAAAAATTACCTAATTGATTATCGGTAATAAATCGTATTAATAAATTGTAGAAATCCTTGCACCTAAACCAGAAAAAAAAACACCCAAATATTAGTGATCCGTATTGTGGGTGGGGGTTAGAAAAGTACGTACGTTAAATACGAGTTGGGACCAAAATTGTTTCTTAATTTGTACAATAATTAGTAAGTGCAACCGAGTATTTTTTGATTCTCAGTCTACAAACGACTTTTAAATCTTTTTTTTGCCAGTAAAAACAATTTTAGCTTTACGAGAGAACCTATTCAACTATTACCCTCCATTTAAATAGAATCCATTTCTTTCCATTTCAAAAAATGTTTATGGAGGTTTTTTTTCAATAAATGGATATATGTTGAATAATTTGGCAATGATTGTAAAATAATCGATGCTATCAACATTTGATAGCAATGTTTGAAAATTTACTTGTCAATAAAGATCATTTTTCGTTATCAATCGGTTTGCAACTATTCATATCGTATGTTTCTAACATGAGACTATCAATCAATCAACCATCCATAAGCCTATCCCTATAAAGATATAAGCAAATATCACTGAATTGTTCGAAATTTTCCGTCACATTTGAACATCTTTTTTTCTTGTAGAATATCTATAATTAGTAATTAGTTCAATATGTTTACGAAATAATTTCTTTGTATGTTTAACAACAAAAAAAAAACAAAATAATAACTATAATTTACACATGAATAAAATGCTTTTTGCTAACAAGAAACCTAATATTTTTATTTAACTGGTTTTATATTCCATAGCCCATCATTCATATAATGTAATGTTTCAATTCCAATTCCTTTATTTATTTGTTGTATATCATCAGAAGACATTTTTAATTGTCCAATGGCCAGTGCATGTTCTTTACCTTCAGCCATGATAACACATATAGAATCTTTGGGAGAGTGTGGAGTCATTTTAGCACCGGAAGATGTTAGACCAGGACACATGATGTTAGCTCCAGATAATACAAATCGAATTGCACCCTATAAAACGCTTAAAAATATAAAACGATCACTGAGAGTACGAATGGTTAATACAAATTACTTTATCAACTTGTTGTGGTGGTAATATAAACGGATATTTATGTAACATTCGCAGCACGGGTATGGGTGGCCCATCACGATGACGGAAAAATAGTGCTTCACCACTTGAGTTAGCAATAATTTCAATATGTTCTTGGCATTTAACTAGTTTCGGTGCATCTTTTTTTGGTAAAATATCATCTAAGATTGATTCAATATAGGGATAATCTTGAATTAAACGTTGTTTCAAACGTTTGACATCGGTATTTCGTAACTGAGCAACACTAGACACATTGTCTTTCTCAATAAATTTTTTAAACATATTTTATCTGAAACAAATGAATTGAAAGCTCCTTAAACTTCTCAGAAAAGGAACAATCAAGTTATAAATTATCCAAAAAAAAGTTCCATTTGAGTCTTACGTTCAAGTGAAAATCGAACAAAAGAAAAAAAGAAAGATTTTCAGTCAGTTCTTACATAAAATAGTCGCGAAAAATGTCTTTAAATCTTCATAAACTTTAACGTTATTATGAAAAAATTTTCAAACGATACAATGGTTCACCTTTTCTTTTGGCCAATCAAACTCATCTGTTGAGCATTTGTTAGAGTCTACAACAATCAAAACTTCTCATTCTGTTTCGTGTACAATACGGTCGAGCGGCATCTAGGTAGGACATCAAATGTCCTAAATAAAGAAGATATGACTTCCCACTGTGTGACAAATCTTAGACTGTTTAACTGTCTAAATTTTCAACTACGAAACATACACAAGCACTCTGACGATATCAATATTTCTGCGAAATATTTCAAATAATTGACTTTCATGTGTGGAAACAGATCGAGCTTTGCATTTTAACAGTTGTTTGCATGCTACATATGCGTTTCTATATGTTACATATCTAACTCATCTGGAGTTTTTGCTTCAAAAATATTTCATTAATTACAAAGACGAGACGTGTGTTGTCAATCATATACGTGAAATTCTATATGACATATACAGGTGCGTAATAAAAAACAAAAGAATTATATCGTTTAGTTGGTACAGCTTTTAAACTCTGGACGTTTTTGTCAGAAATTTGAATATCTGACTACATTTAACACATTCAATAAAATACAAAGTAGATCTCTGGTTTTTATCACTAAAATTTACATCTTATGTTAAAATTGGAGAACATCCAAAAGATTAAAGTTCTAATAGTATGTACACCTTTTTAATTCCCTACAAAGACACCTGATTTCCTTCCTTTCACCAGCTTTTGTGCAGACTCCTTTCAACAGTTATCCGACATGTGTACAAAAATGATAACTGATAAAAGACTTCTAAAAAGCCATTCTTCATCTGTCCCTAACCTTTCATATACCCTTCATATATGCCTAAATATTGTAGTTAGATCCGAAGTACCAACATAATACTCAAAAGTTGCCTAGTTTTTGTTTAATTTAGGCCTAACTGGTCATTTATAGTCATATTTCACTTCTATCAACAATAAAGAATGCCTCGTGTCACCTTTTCTGCTGATTATACACATCGTCCGTCGTCCATTGATTCATTACCGATTAGTGACTATCATCTTCATCAGCCATATCGTCAATCAAATAACAATTCTGGTAGCAGTACAAAAGATGAAAACCAAATGATATTGTCACCTAATATTATAGATGAAATATTAACACGAAAACTGTATAAACAAATGCAAACAACTCCACCATTGTCAGAACAAAAATTACCAACAATTTATTCCGGTGCGGGTGATAATCAATATAACGATGTTCCAGTTCAAAATTATCCATATTTCGATAAAAATAAGAGCAAACCACACGCGCCAAGAAATTCGGTGCAACAAATATCAGCAGGTAAGGTTTAATATAAGAAATTCGTAAATCTTTGACTGATTTAAGCAAACAGTGTTACAACAGTGACTGGTCAAACTCTCACAAACTTCTTTTCATTTGATGAAGAAAAAATACTGGTGCTAGCGACGTAAGGCTCACGAAATATCATACGTGCCTAAGATATCTCTACATCTGTATGTAACAGTTACACAAAAGTATTTATCTACAAGAACAGTATCAGATACTTTCCAGATTTAGTCTAACTAAAGAAGACTTCAACGTGATTGTAATTTAATCCTAACTTGAGAATTATTTTTATTCTTGTACACCTTTTGTATCTTAAACACGGTTTTCTAAATTATATATTTTAGTACAAATTAGTGTATTCTCCATTTCGTTCTGTTTTTAGCGGCAGCAAATGTGGAATTGCCTCGTGTTGTCAACTCAATGAAATATCCATCACCATTTCTTATGGTTCCGTCAATAAAACAAATTCGTTTAAATGTAAAAAATGGTCATGAACAACAACAAATCCCATATCTAACACCACTGTTTTCAAATTTCCCAGTGAAAAGTTCAATGTATTTACATCAGGCAACTCCGTCAGAAACAGCAAAATTAAAAACTAACGTTGATCATGAGCTTTGCGATCTAATTGATCGTTTTTTAAATTTATCTTATCTGAGTAAGTAACGCACTATTATTAGTCTTTTTTCTCATAAATCCGTTATCTAGTTCCTAATTCATACACAGTATTTGAATATTTGTAGATACAATTCCAATAATTAATTTACTAGCAACAGCATATGCCACAAATTTTTTACAACAAAATATTAAAGAATTAGATGGTGAATTATTAGGAGTTCGACAACAACAAACAATTAAATCATATAAAATTCCCGATGTTACAACTGCATCTTTTCAAAATAACTATATGGTTCGAACGATGTGTTACCTTGAAAAAGATGAGGATAATATTAGTTGTTTTTCAGTTTAACTACTAGTTTTATTTTTTATCAATGTGTAGTAATTTTTTTCTAGAACTGTTTTTATTTGCTTTTATTTTCGTCTATTAATAATTATTTTTACAAATATAGATGTAACAGAGTTAATGTTTAAATAGTGTTGATGCTTTTTTCTTGTATTGTTTTTTCTCAACTTACTTATTTTGTTTCTTAAAATCTTCATTTTAAGAGTTAGTAATTTTTGCTTTAATAATCCTGTAAAATTACATAAAGGAAAATCTTTAGATTTGACTAAAATCATCTTTTATTGTTGTAACTGGATAAAACTGGCGAATAAAGCGAAAATCAGCCATCACTATCGTGTCGAGGCTTCGCGATTTAAGTATGATCAGCAAAAGAAAACTACAATTTTAACAAGAACACGATATGATAGTGGGAAATAAATGGCGGTCGCACTATGCCAACATCGCGACAAAATCACAATCATAAAATCGCTTCTCATTTCTATTCGCGCGTCATACCATAAGCCCATAACGTTTTTTCAGTTCATCTGAGCCTTTAGAATCTTACACTGAATTTTTTTAAATTAATTTTTCTGAAGTGGTGCATAACAGATACCAGTGCTTAACAAACGCGAATTTCTTCAAAATCTAATATGAAATTACGCTAATGTAGAAAAATTGCTAATTAAAAACTGAACAAAAAAGTCGGAATTCGCCCCATAGTTCTCAGGTTTCTCTATCAGAACTCAACTTTTATGCAATAAAAATATTATATTTAGAATCAACTTCAAAAACTGAGTCGAATGATGTACTTTTCTATTCTGTCCTATTCTATCACTTCAATTTTCCCGACGAAAAATTACTGACATTTTCACCAAAAAATGAAAATCAACAGAACTCTAGCGTATTTGTCTTTATCTTTATGTCGCATATACGACACTAGGGCTCTACCGTTTAGTGTATCTTTATCTGTTTCTTGATGTCGCATACAGATTATGCTTTCTTTTCTGTATGTATCCTTATGTCTGACATACAGATATCTGCATGCGACATCAAGAAAAAGATAAAGATACGT